CGTCGTGACATCGTTAGAGATAAATTCACAGACGCTGTCATGGACACCTACAAACAAGTGAAATTTTTTTACCAAAATACCCTCAGAAACTCATCATTCATTATACAATGAGCTTTCAAAGGCTGCATCTACAGCATCTACTTGCTCGAGGTTCAAGCTTTTATTTACACGTGATACTTCATATCGTAATTGTTTTTCGCACGTCTATGCATTGATAAGGAGAAGTGTATAACCGTTTGTTTCATTGAAAAGTCAATACCTAATATTTTTTGTAATTTTGCCTGATTTTTACAATTCAAATCCGCAAATATAGTGGCAAATGTTGAAAACTCATCCATTCGGGTGCATAAAGTTGCTACTGACGGGACACTTTAGAATAGGTTTTGTCCGGACTTCTATCGCACACAAACAAATGTAACAAATGTAAGGTCCAAATTTATTTCATTTAGTTTAATAGCACCTGATTCTTTGACCTTTGTCCATTAGTTCTTTTCCACCCCGGGAAACTAACCGTAGCGAACACACGACCAGATGTGTCCGAAATCATTTACTAGCACCATCCTATGTAACACATGAATGGAACGATTAGATCGATTAAAACTGTGGTTACTTTGCACGCTTATTACACTGTGACCGGATTCTGGGCAGGATCAAAGCGGACTTGTTTTCGCACTCGAGTCACAGTGGAGGTGGTCGGCATCAGTCTCCAAAACAAAATCTCTAAAAAGATACCTCTTCCGAATCCCCCGTAACATAACCAGCAATGAAGCAACGGAACCGGCGATAATTGGCTCTTGGTGAAACCTTGGTCATAAAAGAGGGCTCCTGACGTGTTAACACTCCGTCTTCTCTCTTCTCCTATCGAAAACCCCTGCCCGTGATTCTAAAACACTGAACAAGAGCTTGGTGTATATTTAGTGTTCGCATTGTATGTTTTGTAGGGTTGTTCGAATAAAAAGATGAAATCATTGCAGATAAAAGAGCACAAAACAAAATAATTCAAATAAAACATTATTTTCAAAGTTAATTGAAAAAGTAATATAGTTTGCTACAAGACTATTCTCGTGCTGTTTTAGCCGCTTCCCCTTCCTAAAGTTGTACTATTACATATTCAACAAAATTAAAAATGGAAATGAAAGAAATGAATAATTCTCTAAACCAAAACGAAAAAGACAAACAAAATGAATTTTTATATAGAAGACACGGATGGTGGTAATTCTGTGAGGAACGGAGAGGCGGAGCGGATGGGGAAAAAATCCCACTATTACCCACGTTTGGTGCAACGCTGGTCCTACTCCATCAAGAATTGATACGATATATCCAGCAGACTACTCTCCTACAATACCCATGGGTAAATTGAACAAATAAAGCTTTAGCTTAATAACGCCATCAGTTAGAGATATAACTTACAGTTGAATTTTCAAAATTGATAGGCAGCAGGATTTGCACCAACGAAGTGGCAGTAATAAACAAAAATAACTGTTTTAACGCTTTCACCTTTGTTCTTTTTTGGAACTGTGTCGAAGGGGAACAAACCGCTCCATCATTTTCATTAGTCATCGATGAAAAGAAAGTCCCGGCTTTTTACTAGAGCTTAATAGTGATCAGTATGTTTACAAACCAAACAAGAGACAGGAAGCGTTTGTCCGCAAAACAAACACTTAAAATTAGGCACATGGAACACGATTATTACCAAACAAGCTCCCCTTCAATCACTGCCATAGACGTACCTTGATGGCAACAGATCGCAGCATGTTATATTCCACATTTGAAAGTGTCTGACTCGGAGCTACCACGATCGACTCGCCCGTGTGTATACCGACCGGGTCCACATTTTCCATGTTACACACCGTAATACAGTTATCGTATGCATCTCTCAAAACCTTCAGATGGAGAACACAAACCGGATTTGAATCACAATCCGAGAGAAAGCTCATTTAGGATTTTTCCAATGACAAATAAAAAGCATTTAGAGAAAATCAATTAAATAAAATTAATCGATGGGAATGAATAAGCCTAAAGCATACTTGACAAGAACGAGAAGTGTCAGAAAAGGACGATCGCTTGATAGATAAATCGCAACGGTCACACAGATTGACCTATATAGGTCAGGCATACACAGATACGCACAGCTCAACGCACAATCTTCCAAATGCATCGGCAAGCAAACCTGTGGAAAACCGCATACTTCTGCTGACTGAACTAACTAGAATTAAGTTTTTACTTCTTGCAGTAAACTAGGTGCCAAACAGATAGTCTGACACTATTGAGCATCGACCATTTCTGTTATGTTGACTAACCTTTCTAACTCAACTGCATTCCATCACTTACAGATCGGGGTAGCGATTAGGAAGCGTGAAACCCGAGGCTTGCCAATTTTTGAAGGATGTACGAATCCGTTCGGACTCACAGGATATAGAAATCCAACAGTGCTTACATTATTGCTCTATCAAGACAATTCTATGTTCAATATATTAATTCAATGAGTGACAGAGAAAAATGTGGGCGCTCCTAATACATTCGGTGTTTGAGTCAAATAACAATCTAGTCCATCAGACGGACCTATTTCTTTAACAACTTGGTCGTTCCGATCCAGCTGTCCGCATGTTGATTCACAGTCCCGGATGGGTATCAATTCAAAATCCGCTCACATTATATCATATCAATATGATCTATACCTTTTGCAAGTCAAGTTGTCCCAGTATCACATCAACATGTCCGGGAATCATTTCAAGTTGGCTGATCATTATTTCAAGATGTTTGGCGATTATTTCAAGTTGTCCCAGTATAATTTCAAGATGTCCCCGGATTATTTCAAGATGTCCGGGAATCATTTCAGCACCGGTGAGGTCAATGCGACAACTTGAAATAATCCGAGGACGTCTTGAAATGATACTGGGACAACTTGAAATAATAATCAGTCAACTTGAAATGATTCCCGGACATCTTGGAATAATCCGAGGACATCTTGATATGATATTGGGACAACTTGACTTGCAAAAGGTATAGTAAAGTAGGCAACGAGCATTTAGACCAATGAAGCTCTTTTGTGTATCACTTAACTAAACAAAACCCCACCGTATATATTTGTTACTTTGGGAGCCCAACCTGAATGACCTCGCAGTGTTCCAGTACAACATTATAACAACGCGAACCCATACCCAAACAGCGACCAATAAAAAAATCCAATAACATAACGGCTAGATCCAGTAACAATAAAAAGATGACATGTGTGTGTATGTATTCACCAACCTCATACTCCACTTCCTTCCATCCTTTCAGCGATTTGTCAATAAAAATTTGTGTAGTCTGGGACAGAGCACGTTGAGCCAGCACCTCGAGCTGCTCAGCGTTATCCGCGAACCCCGAACCCATGCCACCCAGAGCGAAAGCTGCACGAATCAGGACCGGATAGCCAAGCCGATTGCCAACATCCACAGCTTCCTATTTTAACACCGGGGAAAGATGGAGAAGAAATTGGTGACACTGGTGACACACACAATCGGTAATGTGAAATGAAATGGATAGATGATGGGGAAGGAGTGGTAATTAGCCTCAGCATTGCTGTCACTGAAGCAGTAACTAGAGAGCAAATAAAGTTTCGTAACCAAGAATGACTCGTTGATCTCTCGTGGACGCACTCGGAAATGATGCATGTCGGAAATGCAAATTTATTCATTAACACAAATAATCCCTTCTCGATCGGCTTTGAAAAACGAATGTGGATTAGTAACGAAATTCGGAAATTACTTCCAAGGGAGATTAAACGTAGATTTTCATAAGTAAACCATTCAGGGCTTCACAACGGTAAAGCTAACATATCAACAAAAGAATCGAAATTTAATTTATTAAAAAACAACTTTTTTCTTCAGTTTAGTGTAATGGAGTGTGTGGATTAATGGGTGAGTGTTATCTCGCAGAACACCAAATAAGAACTAAGCAAAAAATTTACAGTATTGTTACGTGAACGCCATTGCTCAGAATATGCTTCACCGCGATTGCTGCTATATTCCCTATACTTCATTGAAAAGGAAATCGTAGCGAAGAATTCTTCACGGATTCATTAAAACACATGCTCGAAATGAAGTCACACTTCTGTGCCGAAACAGTTGTTTACGTAAATTATAAAGACCACAGGCAGTCATAAATTGAGGGGGTCTTGAAAACTGATCCCATTTAAAAGGCTAATTACAATTGAGTCTATTCAGAAAGCTGTTTATCTTACTTTACTGTTTTTTTATTCACTATTTCCGATAACAAAAAATCATATGCAAGAATGGATAACATATTTGAAATACGTTTATTTATGCATATCGGGAACCCACGCAAGCAGCAAATCTTGAGTAAATTAGTATCCGAGCCTAAAATCAGACCTAATACTCAGATTATTCTGTTAGCTCAATAAATACTGCTACGATATTGATATTCAAAAAACTACCTTTTTGCATCGTTTAGGCTCAGTGAGTTGGTCTACCATAATGCAGTAGCAGTGTAGAATTGATTTTATACAGATAAACAGAAGCCATCCGAGCACAAATAATTTGTCGATTTGCCTTATTACTTCTAAAACAACACAACAACAACAGTTCGAAGAAAATTAGCTCGATCCGGTAACTACACAAAAAATATGAAAGCGAAAGGTAAACCGAACATGGTGATTTTACGGTTGAAGCAACTAACTTGTAATTTACTGATCGATTCTTTATCAGTAATCCACTAGCTAAAACAACTAAAGTGATCATTCCTGGAAGACAATAGGGTCAAAGAGAGCAAATAATAAAATTGAGTCCGTAGGATGAACTTAAATGAGAGACTACCATAAGCCAGGGAAGATTACTTGCATACAATGAAAAGACAAGAATAACTTCATCTGGCAGATTAATTTGACTGTTACTTTAAATCAAAAGACAACACGTGGCACAGGACAGCGATGCAATCGGATTGAAATGTAGCACAGTGTAGCTGAAAACGAGAAAAACTAACCCGAACAGTAGTAGCAGCATCTGCAGGTGCCACCTTCTCGCCAATCAAGTGCATTGCCTCGGCAAATTTATGACGATCCTCGGTTATTTCTATGGCTGAGGCCGGTGTACCCAGCAGACGACATTCCCATGTCTCCAACACGGATGGCTCAGTCAGAGTGATATCACCTTGTTCCACAATAACACTTGAGCTTTGTCCGGGAGTGGCCAATGCGAGACCGCAGGTCAGACCGGTTTGGCCACCGAACGAAATGAGAATCCCGTCTGGTCTTTCGGCTTCAATCACTCGAGAAACGCATTCAGGCGTTACCGGTAACAGAAATATCTGTTAGGTCATAGAAAGTTCAACGTGATGCTGAAATTTTTTTGAATAAAAACTGCTGATAGCGGTTAAATACAGTGAGAATAGTTCAACAAAAAGGGAATCGTGGGATTGCTACGAGAGTCTGGTATCAACGAACTTCTTTTACTACACGACCTGGTGTGGTAAATACTGGATGAAATGAAACTCATGATCACGGGGAATTAAAGCGTTCTAATAAAAATGACCTCATATATTCGAAGTGAAGAAGCAAGTAGATCTCCAATGAAATAAATGTGGTAGGGCTTAGGGTGGCAGAGAAGTTGTGTGGATAATGGAGTAGGCGGATGCGGGATTCAAAGCATTGAACCTAACAAGATAAATTGCTCGATTACCGTTACATATAAAAAAAATAATTCTACCTAAAGAAAACCCAATGATAAACATTGACTTCTGGCAACCTTTTGTCCTTTTAGAAGAGATTATATCGTTACATTATCATCTGAGAAGTAAAACCCAAACCCGCTAGTTTGATAGACTTGAAAAAAGTTCGTCGAGTAATTTTAAAGAACTCCGGTACTAAGATATGTAATCAAAGTTTGAATCACAACACCGCGCACAAATTCACTATCAATGAAAAACCTTTTATAACAGAGCAAGTCATCATATTGTGGAAAAAAATTATATCCTACCTTGTCTGCCATGCCGGCCGTGGTTTGTACTGTAGCAACATTGGGATTGACCAAAAGTGTCTCGACGCTTTCTTCTCGCAACGCCTTTAGGGCTTGACTCCCGGAGTAATCGA